TTTATGTATTAGCTGTGCTGGGTCTTCATTGCTGCATAGGCTTATCTCTAGTTGTGGCGAGTGGGAGCTACTCTGAGGTTGCAGTTTGTGGGCTTCTCATAGCAGTGCGGGCTTCAGTAGTTCTGGTTCCCAGGCTCCAGAGCATAGGCTTCATAGTTGTGGCACATGGGCTTAGCTGCTGTGCAGCATGTGGGATCTTCCTCCCAGACCAGAGATCTAAGCCATGTCTTCTGCATTGGCAGGTAGATTCTTTACTGCTGAGCCACCAGGGAAGCCCCCATGACAGTTTTAAAGTAAACAGAATTGGGGGATGGTGGCGGGAAGGAGCTGCCTGGGGGCCTGGTGGTTAGGATTCAGGGCTTTCACTGCCATAGCCTGGGTTCAAGCCCTCATGGGGAACTAAGATCCCACCAGTCATGTGGAACAGCCAAAAAAATAAAAAGAAAGAAAAGAAATAAGTAAATAGAGCTGCTCTGGTATCTATCAATATGGTAGAAATTCTCTATTTAAGTTTACTTTAATTTTCATTCTTGAGTTAAGGAATCATTGAAAATAGCTTGCTGGGCAACTTCTTGGAGGCTTATCATTGTTGACACTCATCACAAGAATCTGGGAGTTGTGGGCTCTCTTATAGGGCAACTGGATTGTTAAAAGTGGGCCAATCTACCACTATCCCTTTTGATTACAAGTATCTCTACCAATAGGGTCAAAATATGAAGTAGGAATGTACCTCTTGAAGTTGGGTCAGATTGTTACCTTGAATTTATTTGCCTGACAGCCTTTTTCTGTTCTACTGTTCTTTCAAAATGTTCAGCAAAATGTCAAAGCTCTGGGAGGGAAGTGACTTCCGATTCTTATTTATCAGAATAAATAAGAGCTCCATAACAAACCATGGAGCTCTAGGTGAAGCCTATTAACAAAATGGGCACACAAGGGAAAACTAGTCCCCAGATTGTTGAGACCAGAGTATTGTCTGTGTGTGTTAGGTCACTATAGTTGTGTCTGACTCTTTGTAACCCTCTGGACTATAGCTCCCCAGGCTCCTCTGTCCAAGGGATTCTCCAGCCAAGAATACTAGAGTGGGTTGCCGTGCCCTCCTCCAGGGAATCTTCCCAACCCGGAATGAACTGAAATAGACAATCTTGCTTAGATTTCAAAGACAAAGAAGAGCAGGCCTCTGACCTTGTTTGTTAACCTTCCTGGACTGCCTGAGCTGGGTACAAGCCTTGTAGCGCCATAGATAAAATGGGATGAATCTTGAGATTGTTGAGCCCCTAGAGGCAGTCTGGTAAACCAAGCCCCAGGCTTAACAACATTCCAAGTTTTACATGACAAAACAAACAGCTTTAACAAGAAACCACAGCTGCAATTTGCTTACAAATTGATGATTATATCAGTTTATGTCCTGGGATTATAAGTGAGAACTCCAAACTGCAGTTTTTCAAGTCTCACCCCAAGGAGTGCTGCCTAGTACCTTTTCCCAATTGGGACTCCAGATGTGCTGTGTCATGGGACTTCCCAGCACTGTTTAAGTCTGTATGTTGGTCAAAACCTTATTTGGTGATGTATCGTCTATTAGTTCTCTTTTCTTTTAATGTTAGTATACTGAAAGTAAGCTAGATAATTCTCTAATTAGTATTATCTATTTGTATAGAAAGAGGGGCTTATTTTGTTAACAAATCCTTTGAACTTGAGAGGAAAGTGAAAACTTTCTGCAAAGCAGGGTCTTTTCAATATATTTCTTAAAGCCAATTTTGACCATTTCCTGGATTCAGTATCATGTTAACAAACTAGCTCAGCAGGTAAAGAATCCACCTGCAATGCAGGAGACCCTGGTTCAATTCCTTGGTCGGGAAGATCCGCTGGAGAAGGGATAGGCTACCCACTTCAGTATTCTTGGGCTTCCTTGGTGGCTCAGCCGGTAAAGAATCCACTTGCAATGCGGGAGACCAGGATTCAATCCCTGGACTGGGGAGATCTCCTGGAGAAGGGAACAGCTACCACAAACGAAGAGCATGGGATCCGGTCCCATCACTTCATGGCAAATAGATGTGGCAACAATGGAAACAGTGGAAGACTTTATTTCCTTGGGTTCAAAAATCACTGCAGAAGGTGACCGCAGCCATGAAATTTAAAAAATGCTTGCTCCTTGGAAGACAAACCCAGAGAGCATGTTAAAAAGCAGAGACATTACTTTGCCGGCAAACGTCTGTATAGCCAAAGCTATAGTTTTTCCAGTAGCCATTTTGGATGTGAGAGTTGAACCATAAAGAAGGCTGGAATCATTCCAAGAATTGATGATTTCCAACTGTGGTGTTGGAGAAGACTCTTGAGAGACCCTTGGACTGCAAGGAGATCAATCCAGTCAATCCTAAAGGAAGTCAGTCCTGAATATTCATTGGAAGGACTGATGCTGAAGCTCCAATACTTTGGCCACCTGATGCGAAGAACTGACTCACTGGAAAACACCCTGATGCTGAGAAAGACTGAGGGCAGGAGAAGGGGAGGACAGAGGATGAGATGGTTGGATGGCATCACCGACTCGATGGACATGAGTTTAAGTAAGCTCCGGGAGTTGGTGATGGACAGGGAGGCCTGGCGTGCTGCAATCCATGTGGTGGCAAAGAGTCGGAGACGACTGAGCGACTGAGCTGAACTGAACAGACGCGAACAGCGAGCCGGCCCCGGGCGGGCGTGAGCAGACTCGCCGCGCGGTGGGCGTGGCTCTCTTCGGCACTCCTCCAGCCGGTCCTCCTCTTTTCCCCACGCCCCGCGCTCTCTGTCCGGTCTCCGCATGCGCGACCGAGCCCTGGGGGCGGGGCTGCTCCATCCGGGTATCCAGCGGCCTGTGGGTGTTTTGTTTTCTTGGCTGGAACTTGAAGCGGTAGGTAGGAGGCCCGGCCCCGGCGCGACACCGGGATCCGGACGTACTGCACCGGCCAGGCTGGACTTAAAACTGTAAGTACCAGGCGGGAGTAGGGGGAAGGGGAGGGGCCGTCCGCTGCCGGCCGATTGAGGCCGGAACCGTCTGCCCGGCTGATGCTGCCTGGGTCGTTGCGTGCATCCTCTTCGGGAAGCTGCAGGCTCAAGCCAGCGCCTTGCTGGACCCTTCTTTCCTGCCCACTTACTGCTGACCTGGGTTCGGCCGGGGGCGGGAGAGGGCGACCACCTCCGCGCTCCGGACAGTGCCCTCCCCTGGACGTCGCAGGATCCCTGAAAATCGAAAATCACCATGCTCCTCCCCCCCCCCCCCCCCCCCGCCCCCGGTGCTTTAGATCTGGGGAAGCTGACACCCGGGAAGGAGTTGAAGCCGGCTTGTCCCCTTGGCGAGGGACAGGGCCGAGCTAGAAGAGCTAGATCTAGTTCCCACGTCTTCCCAGTCGCTGGCCACCCTCTACACCTCACATCCCCGGAGTCTGGAGGGGCGGAGTTTGGGGTTGAGTGTGCGGGTCGTAAACCGAAGAAAAACGGAGGATTCGGGTTGGCGTCATCGGGGTAGATCGGAATCAAAAGGTACTGGATTGCTATTCCGCCCAGGGAAGAATTTTTTTTTAAGTTAATTTTCAAAATTAGACGTCCTCAAGGCCTATTAGCACAGCTTTTAATTAAATTTTTAAAAGGGACTTTCCAACTGGATTCGTTACTTTTGTAACAACCCTGGTTGTCAATGACAGAGTAGCTTCATAGAGATTAAGATTCACTGTAGGAATTTGGATGTTTGCTTATTAACAATTTACACTTAAGGCAGGCTTTTTCATATTCTGAGACAGATAATGTGGATGTGTCTCACACTGGGTCTGTATAGCCCAGCTCAAAGGAATGTTCTGTGTAATTGTCTATGGTAATTTAGCAGTGGATTCCTTTTTCTCTCGTTTCATCCTTCCTTCCGTGTGTGTGCGCGCGCGCGTGCTTAGTCGCTCAGTCGTGTCTGACTCTGCGACCTTTTGGACTGTAGCCCACCAGGCTCCTCTGGCCATGGGATTCTCCAGGCAGGAATCCCGGAGTGGGATGCCATGCCCTCCTCCTCCAGGGGATCTTCCCGACCCAGGGCTCCAAGCCGCGTCTGCTGTGGTCTTCCGCATTGCAGGCGGATTATTTACCCTGCATTGAAAGCCCTCCTTCCTGTCCTTTCTTTATTCCCCTTTTCCTGTTTTAATGGTCTGAATTAATACTGACTTCAATTTTGTGCTTTCTTTTGGCTGGAAAACATGTTAGAATCAGAGGTAGACATTATTAAAATGAAATGGCTGTTCTTTGCGTAGAGGGCTTCCCTTACGGTTCAGCTGGTAAAGATTCTGCCTGCAGTGCGGGAGACTTGGGTTTGATCCCTGGGTTGGGAAGATCCCCTGGCGAAGGGGAAGACTACCTACTTCAGCATTCTGGCCTGGAGAATGCCATGGACTGTGTAGTCCATGGGGTTTCGGAGAGTCGGAGACGACTGAGCGATTTTCACTTTCACTTTTACATAGAAATGAAGCCACAGGACAGGCTTGGAAAAAAAATAATGAAGTGAAAGGACTTGATGTGAAGAAATATGTTATAGATAAAATGTGTAAATTGTTAAGAGAAGTATTTTTCATCTGAGTCCATACTTTAACTCAACCAAAATTTTATCATTTGTCTCTCCCCTGTGCTAGTGCCCCTGGACTCTAAATATCTAAAGAACATAATAACTTAGTTTGGAATTAAAGTTAATAATCATTATAAATTTTTTTCAGTATTTGGACACCCACTTTTGCTTAAAATCATCTTTTAAATTAAAAAAAAAAACACAACAACTAAATGAGTCCACACTTTGTTTTCCAGAGTTTTGTGGAAATTCATCAAAAGCTGAATCTCAAATGTTCTGAAGTATATGTAGCAAATAAAGTATTTATAACTTCATTTTTATTAAATTATTCCTAAACTGATATTTTCTAGAAACAAGTCAGATTTGAAGAAATTCACTAGAAGTACTGTATTAAGTTGGTTTTGTTTGTTTATTTAAGTGACCTGAAAAAATGTCTGGATTTCTGGAAGGCTTGAGATGCTCAGAGTGCATTGACTGGGGGGAAAAGCGCAATACTATTGCTTCCATTGCTGCCGGTGTTCTAGTAAGTGTCCTTGATCATTTGGGCCTTCCTTAATTTGATGTGTTTGTTTTTATGTATTTTGAATTCTGTGTGATTTCTTTAAGTATGTACTATTTATTTTATCTTTGACCACTGAATTTTTAAAAATAAATGTTGACATTTTTGTTTATGAGAGGATTTATGTATTCCATTTAAAGAGTTGACATTATGGCTTAAAATTTGATATTATTTTTCTTTTACTGCAAAAACATAGTATAGTGAGACAGTATATTTTATATATTTATTCACAACATGGATTATGCCTCCTCTTACTGAGTACATGAAATTACCAAGAAGTGTTCAAGAAACAATGAGGTCAGAATCATTCAAAAGATATGACTGCATTTCTCCATAACTTAACTTTTCAGTCTCATTAGATAAATAAAGCGCTCATTAAAATATATTGTTTAGAAGTAATTTATAGAATAAAATTCTTATTTATATTACAAATCCTCAAGGCATGTGATTTTTTTTGTGCTCTAATGTTGACATATACTCTAAAGAATGAATTTTAAGTAAACAAGCAGAAATCTAAGTTTAAATATGTCTCTTTGCCTAGCCTCTTGACAGTTATAATCTCTGAAAAATAATTGTCCTAAATTTTTCCAGGGTAATGTCAAAATATAAGATTACTATAGAAATTCTGCTATTATATTAAAAAAAAAAAAGCTTTGAATTTTAGTCTCTGAAGAAAATACCTTGAGTATGTTGGGCTCAAAGTGTTTAAAAAAAAAAAAGGCAAAAGAATACTTGTGCTACCCAGTAAAAATGTCATTAATAGAGTATAGATCTGTCTGTAAACTGATAAAAATAATTTTATTAACCTAAAATAGTTATTTATAAATAAATAGAGCTAACTAGGTCAAGGTTGGAAGTGGGGATAGAGAAGGGGGTTACTTTCCAAATCAGCTAAACTACATGTCAGAATTTGGTAAGTGTCTGCTCAAGTGATAAAAAACATTTATGCAGTTTTAATGTCTTTTTTCATTTTATGTTTGTCCTTGATAATGTCCAGAGCCAAATTCAATTAAAATAAATTATAATTTTGTGTTTTAATTGAACTTAGCATCACCCCTGAAACCATCTGTAGACTGCACTGTAGTTTATCAAAAGAGAAAGCAGTACTGCACAGCACATTGTTTATTTCACAGCACCAAGAGACTAGCTAAAATTCTATTAACAATAATTATTCCCCATATTATTTTGAGTACTGTTTTTTTCATTTTCAATAATATCTTTCTGGAGGCTTATCATCAGGAACAGGCCACTCCTCTTGTCAGTTCAAGTCTAAATGACTTTTTTCCTTTCTCCTGTCATGAAATATAATTTACTTCTAGTTCACAAAAATTAGATCACATACTTTTTAAATGACAGTATAAAAGAATGATTGTAATCATCTTAGAAAAGAAGTTTGTGTTAATAAATAATAGCTGTGGGATTTTAGGGTATCTAATCTTTCATCAGATACTAAGCAAAGTGCTAATTGTATGCAAGAAACTGCTGGAAGATTTAAGAAAATTGTGGACTCTATTAGAAGGGATCTCTTCACTTAGATTCTTTGCTTTTTAGCCAGTAAGACAAGAAATTACTGTCATTTCTCCTCCTGTGGTTTGTTTTAGTTTTTTACAGGCTGGTGGATTATCATAGATGCAGCTGTCATTTACCCCCGCATGGACGAATTCAACCACTCCTACCACGCGTGTGGTGTCATAGCAACCATAGCCTTCTTAATGTAAGTGTCATCACTAGTGACACGACTTGCACAGATTGTCCCAAGAGAAATATGTTTTACATACAGTTGAGTAGAGTTAAGATTTTTTAATGTTACCAAATTAACATATGGGTTGTGATTTAAAAGTCAAATCATAGAGAAGGACTTAGGAAGAAAAACAGTGATCCTCTTTTCTGTTCTTCTTATTTTAATATTTATTTATTTGGCTAAGCTGGGTCTTTAGTTGCAGCAAGGGAACTCTAGTTGCAGCATGTGGGATCTAGTTCCCTGACCAGGGATTGAACCCAGCCCCCACCCCCCCCAAACACAAACATACACACACACTGAGAGTGTGGGGCTTAGCCACTGAACCAGCAGGGGAGTCCCCAGAGCAAACTTCTAAAGAAAGCGAGGCTGTCTCAATTTAGAGTGGTATTCTGTGAAGCTCAGTGAAAGAGGTTTTATGTTTGGAACGTGTGTCAGGGATGGACAGAGTAAGATTTTACCGCCTGCATCTCTTCCTGCTGAGTATGTCTGATGTGTACAAACAGAAAACTAGATAGGACCAAGCTAAAGATCACTCCAATCTTAGCAAGGTATAACTCTTAAGAATTTCACTCTCAAATTTTAACAAGAATCAGAGTCATCTAAAGGATTTGTTCAAATTCAGATTGTTGGGCCCTACACCCAGAATTTCTGCTTCAACTTGGGGTAGAACCAGGGAATTCTCATTTTAAAGCATGTCCAGGTGATGCTGATTCTGCTGGTCTGGGGACTATATCCAGTGCTTTACAGGATACTGATTGAGGGGCCTTGCCTATTGTTGTATGAACCCATTACTCAAGACTCCTGAAGACTTAAAGTTGCAGAACTCTTATGGTTAGATAGCATCACCAACTCAATGGACATGAATTTGAGCAAACTCCAGGAGATAGTGAAGGACAGGGAAGCCTGGCATGCTGCAGTCCATTGGGGTGGCAAAGAGTTGGACCTGACTTAGCGACTGAACAATAACAACAACAGCTTGTTGTACCTGGCAGTTTGATGTCATGGATAATTTCCTCGTAGAGTCAGAGACCCTGACCTCTTGGTTTTATTTTGTTCACACAGGATTAATGCAGTATCAAATGGACAAGTCCGAGGTGATAGTTACAGTGAAGGTTGCCTGGGTCAAACAGGTAAATAGATGCAAACAGCATCTTACTGTACATTCTTAAAATAAGAATTACACATGTAAGAGCCACTTGTCTGACTTCTTCAGATCGGGAATAGGATGGAGATGTATCTAAGGAGAGGTTGTAGAAAAGTTGCATTTGGTCAATGGTTGCCAAGTAGTTCAGAATACAAAGTTTTGAGTATATAACCCTGTCCAATAATAGTCCTATATAGATGTAAATGTATACAGTGTATAGTAAAAAACACTATATAATAAAGAATACATTATGCAAAGTGCAAAATAGACTTTCTAGTACTTGAAACTTTACTATATAAATTATTTTCTTCCCTTTTTTCCCAACCTTAATTGATTGAATTAGCATTTTGATACAGCTTAGATTCATAGTTTTGGCATGTTTCAAAATACACAACATAAAATTTACTATCTTAACTATTCTTAAATGTACAGTTTAGTAGTAGGTACATTCATGTTTATTGTGCAGCCAGTCTCCAGAAATCTTTTAATCTTGCAAAACTGAATAGGCTATAGAATTGTAGTGCTTAGATTCACCCAGGCCTGCCTCTCTCCACCAAGGAACTCAAGTCCCCTGGACCCATGGCCATGTGCCCAAGGTAGGCAGGGCACAGGATGTGTGTAGCACAACTTCTTGTAGAGTCCAATTTAGTCAAAGATTTGAGGAGACAGATACTTATTGAGCATTTTAGATTATAAACTTATATCCATACAAAAATAAACCTGAATATAGGCAAGGTTTAGGTGACTTTTTTCCCCCCGCCCTAATGAAATAAAAAGAACTGCAGTGGTCGATTCAGGTCTGTGTTTTCAGACTCCCTCTGGTTCACTCTCTGTGATCAATAGATGAACTTAAATAGAAGCAATACAGATATACTGATATACTGTGACCTTGTAAAATCTAAATGAAGAGATAAATGTTAGCACAGCTCTGGGGGTCCAGAGCTGGTTGTATTTGTGTATCATATCTATAAGTGAGAGCTTATTATTTCAGAACTATTGTTTTATATTTTGGGTATGAAATCAGAAATTTACATATAACATTATTTGCTGTGCTTTATTGAGCAAGGCAGGGTTTTTATTAAAATGCATTTGTGCTAATTAAATAAACTCATCTCAGAATTCACTTTAGGCGAGCTAATGACTGTTTCAGTCGCTCAGTCATGTCTGACTCTTTGCGACCACATGGACTGCAGTACCCCAGGCCTCCCTGTCCATCCCCAACTCCCAGAGCTTACTCAAACTCATGTCCATCGAGTCGGTGATGCAATCCAAGCATCTCATCCTCTGTCATCCCCTTCTCCCGCCTTCAATCTTTCCCAGAATCAGAATCTTTTCCAGTGACTCAGTTCTTCGGATCAGGTGGCCGAAGTATTGGAGTTTCAGCTTCAGTATCAGTCCTTCCAATGAATATTTAGGACTGATTTCCTTTAGGATTGACTGGTTTGAGCTCCTTGCAGTCCAAGGAACTCTCATAAGTCTTCTCCAACACCACAGTTCAAAAGCATCAATTCTTCAGCTCTCAGCTTTCTTTATAGTCCAACTCTCACATCCACACATGACTACTGGAAAAACCATAGCTTTGACTAGACGGACCTTTGTGGGTAAAGCAACGTCTCTGCTTTTTAATATGCTGTCTAGATTGGTCATAGCTTTTCTTCCAGGGAGCAAGCATCTTTTAATTTCATGGGCTGCAGTCACCATCTGCAGAGATTTTGGAGCTCAGGACATAAGGTCTGTCACTGTTTCCATTTTTTCCCCATCTATTTGCCATGAAGTGATGGGACCGGATGCCATGACTCTGTTAGTAAATCTTCATAAATATTATATAAACATGATTTGTAAGTTGATTGTCTTTCCCTGTTAATGTGATTTTAATGCTGTCTAGGCACTTAGAATGTAAAGACAAAAGTCGACAGGGAAACGGCCAGCGTCCACACTGACAATCCTTAGCACAGTTCCCACTATTCTTGCTTTAGACTCTGATGGCAACTGCACATGTTTTTCTCTCTGGGTTTTTGTCTTTTTTTGAAAGGCTGATTGAACTGAGTGCTGCCATACAAGAAACAATTCTCGTAAAATATTATTTCTCTTAAGGTGCTCGCATTTGGCTGTTCATTGGTTTCATGTTGGCCTTTGGCTCTCTGATTGCATCGATGTGGATTCTTTTTGGAGGATATGTTGCTAAAGGTAAGAGAAAACAGTTTACCTTTTACTTCAATGGAATTTTGAAATTTTGCATTAAAGTTGTTTCTTTTAGAATAAAGTTTTCTTTGTATAGTTCAGCCAACTACTAGCAATGCATTTGTGCCCAGGAACCCCCCTCCCTAATCTGTATTTGTATTTGTTTTGTTTGCTATGTTTTTAGTATTCCTTTCTCCTGTATTTTTTCTTCTCATCTGGAGCCTGGAAGGGATGGGACACAGCTCCATCCCTTGTTTCTCTTTGACTTCCAAAAACCTCAGAAGTAGAACATATATCTTGTCCAGCTATTTGGCAAGTCTTGACTTGCTGAATAACATGCAGGCAAACATCCTAGAATTGAAATTGATTGAGCTCAGCCTCCTTGATAATATATCGTCATCTTCTTTTAGATAAAATAACAAATGAACACTTAATGCGTATCTGCTATATAAGGCCAGTGTGAGGCAAGCTAGGAAAAGACCTACTCTCAGATCCCTGGTTGAATCTTTGCCTTGAGGGACCCCAGAAAAATATGAAATTCATTCAGTGTTCTAGGTAAAATTGACTATGCTTATCATAGTAAACAATAAGATATTAATGATTTGCCAAACCGGACCAGCAGAAATCTAATCTAGCTCATATTTTAACACTTCACTTTGTTAGATAAGATGTAATTCTTGGATTAAAATAATTGTTTTCCTGATTTTTTAATTCAAATTGTTTAAATCTTGCAGATAGGAATGATAGGCAGTTTTAAATATCTATGGTTCTTCTTTTTTATTTATGTAATTTTTTATAAAACCATGTTGCTAAAAATATAGAAAAGAAAGAGAAGAAAAACTAATAATCTTACTGCTCTTAAATATTTTGGTATATTTTCTTTGGTTTCTTTTGTTTCTTAAATAGTTGTAATCATAGTATAATTTTGAACCTAGCCTTTTGCCTATCATACGAAATTCTCTTGCTGCTACAAAATTTATCACCATCATAGTTTAAAAACAAAAATGTTACTTTTTTATCATGTGAATTGCTTATTCATTGTAGAAAACTGAGAATATAAAAGAGCTCAAAGAGGAAAGTAAAATTACTGATAATTCTTCTTTCCTAGATAACAACTATTAATACAGAGCCCCTTTTTGTAGGAATGTGTTCATCTCATAGACTTTGAAGTTATTTTCCTAAAGGCTTCTGAAGCCAAGTTATGCTTTGAGAATTATTAGCAGCAAATCTGTAATTTTATGAAGTGCCTTTATATAGAACCTTTATGAGTCATTCTAGTGGTAGTGGTTATTTAATATGGCCTTTTAGTACAGAGGGCCTATACAAACCAGCTATTATGGTAGTCAGATTAACTTAAAACTCTTAGGAAGAAAAGTTGTTATTCATCACGCCTTGGTTTGTCAGTGAGTGATCATTGACAGCTCCAGTAGTAAAAACTTCGAGAATTTCAGCTTCAGTCCAGGATAAAATCAAGACAAGATGGTCCTTTGGCGGTCTTTTCCTATCTTAGTGGCTACTTTCTCCATCCAGGTGTTTAGGCCCAAAACATGGGTAGTTAAGGCCTGTCAAAGATGACACCTCTTTCTCTTACATCCCACAGCCTAATCCATCCCCAGATTCTGTTGATTCTGCTATTAAAATATATCCTGAATATGACCACTTTTTATCTCCTCTGTTGCTCCCACCCTGGTTCCATCCATGATAGTTTCTGGCCTGATTTCCTAAAATAGCTTGTTTATGTCCCCTCCCCAGCCTCACCCCGCTTTAGTCTACTGTCCGCACCGCAGCCAGAAGATCCTGTTGAAGTGTGTCAGCTCAAGTCACTTTTCTGCTCAAAACCTTCCAGTGATTTTTTTTCCTTTCACCCAGATTGAAAATCAGAGTCCTCAGCACGACTGTGAAGCTGCGAAGGATCTGCGTCGCACCCCACCTGCCACTCGTCCTTCTTTGATCTGTCTCCTGCTTTCCTCTTTTGCCCTTGTGACTGTTCCTCCAATGTACTAGCATGCTGCCACCCCAGGGCTTTTGCACTTGTCGTTCTGCTGCTTCTGCACGGCTGCTTCTTCCCTCACTTTCTTTGTATCCTTATACTTTTCCTTGCATCACCTTCCCATGAGGTCCTTCTGGCCGTCTGTATAGTATATCATCATTCAGTACACTTCCCATACCTTTCCTGCTTTACTTTTTCTTCTGACTTATTCTCAACAGTGTTTAGCTCCATGAAGGTGAACGTTTCTCCTGTTTTGTTTACTGTGTTATCCTCAGCACATTCAACAATGCTGGTACGCAGTATGTGCTCAGTATTTATTAAATAAATGAAGGAAGCTACCGTTTACTAAACCAGAACTACACTCTGATATGTACTGTGTCATTTAATACCCACACCAATCATAGTTGCCAGAAAAATCAATTATGTTAGGCAGGAAAACTGACATTCACCAGTTTATCAGAAATTGAATGTTTTGAGATCATGCACCTCTAACTGTTACAATTACTTTTATAGAAAAAGCCGTAGTATACCCTGGGATTGCTGTATTTTTCCAAAATGCCTTCATCTTTTTTGGGTAAGTTTGTTTTGCATTCTTCATCCTATCTTTTTTTTTCTTTTTTTAAAATGATACTTTATTTTATGTCATTGACTGTATTTAGTTGCTTAATTTCCTCCTGTCTAATGCCTTTCCCCCATGTTATTGTCATAAAATAACAATGAGACTGAGACAGATATTTTTAATACATGGGTTGGTTTACTGCCAACCTTGGAAACATACATTGATGTTTTTTTTAATGCCACCATCTCTCCTTTAATGAAGAATTGTGATTCATGTAGATTTAGGTATCTGGCACTGGCACTGTTCATTTAAAATTTATGTCTCTAACAGTTGCTTTTAGTGAAAGCCTGCTTAAAACCATTTCTTCTTAAAATTTTGTTTCTGGATGCATTTTATGGTTCTTTCTGTCCTTGGTGTCACTAGAATTTATGTGTGATATTTGAGGTGTAAAGGCTTGACCTTTTTTTTTATCCTTCTGATGCAATGACAAAAGATTACTTAGACCCTAAAAACCTTAATACTTTTATCACTAATCTTTTCTAATGTTCACTCTTTCCTGGACGTATAGGGCATGCCCTATCCCCTTTCCCTAGCCTCCCTCTTCACCCCACCTCCCAAAAAAACAACAGAAACTTCTCTTTATCCTATGTATCAGGAGTTCTTAATTCCCATTGCATGGGTAGGCTTCTAAAGACTGGGAACCACCAGACATGTCTGCATGTAAGACATTGGTTTTTCTGTTTGTTTCTGGGAAGAGAGCCTATGGCTTTCATCAAATTTTCAAAGATGTCTAAATCCAGAAAAGGTTTTTTTAAAAAAACAAAACAAAACTGCTGTATATTCTAGGACAATCTATTCTAGGACTTTCCCTTCCCTTCCTTGTCCCTTCCCACCCACCTCTTGAAAGGAAATAGATAACTCCTATCTACTTGAACCACTCATGGAATGCTAATAGTTGCCCTTTAACAATAGCCAGCAGTTGGTATTCATACTTTTTCCATTCCACCACAAAGCATTTTTGCAATTTTATAAAATCAGTTTAGAAATAAGAAAAATGTGAATTTGCATGTGGCAAGATATACAGCCTCTTTGGGTCATACCTTGCATCTTGAAACTAGTGGAGAAAATCCAAGAGTTTTTTTGTTTTTTCTAATGCTAAGCCATTGATTTTTGTGCAGAAAATCATGCCCAAAATTTCTTTTTTTTTTAAATTTTCATTTATTTTTATTAGTTGGAGGCTAATTACTTTACATCATTGCAGTGGTTTTGTCATACATTGAAATGAATTAGCCATGGATTTACATGTATTCCCCATTCCGATCCCCCCTCCCACCTCCCTCTCCACCCGATCCCTCTGGGTCTTCCCAGTGCACCAGGCCCGAGCACTTGTCTCATGCATCCAACCTGGGCTGGTGATCTGTTTCACCCTAGATAATATACATATTTCGATGCTGTTCTCTTGAAACATCCCACCCTCGCCTTCTCCCAGAGTCCACAAGTCTGTTCTATACATCGGAGTCTCTTTTTCTGTTTTGCATATAGGGTTATCGTTACCATCTTTCTAAATTCCATATATATGTGTTAGTATACTGTAATGGTCTTTATCTTTCTGGCTTACTTCGCTCTGTATAATGGGCTCCAGTTTCATCCATCTCACTAGAACTGATTCAAATGAATTGTTTTTAATGGCTGAGTAATATTCCATGGTGTATATGTACCACAGCTTCCTCATCCATTAGTCTGCTGATGGGCATCTAGGTTGCTTCCATGTCCTGGCTATTATAAACAGTGCTGCGATGAACATTGGGGTGCACGTGTCTATTTCAGATCTGGTTTCCTCGGTGTGTATGCCCAGAAGTGGGATTGCTGGGTCATATATGCCCAAAGTTTCTTGAGCACTTTTTATGTGCGAGCACCATTCTTAGTGTGTTACATGTGTGCTCCCAGTTGATTCCTAAAACTCTAAAGGTGGCTCCAGTGTTACCATCATTTTATATGTGAGAAATAGGCACAGAGATCATGTTCCAGATTGTGTGGCTAAAATTCAGGCTATCTGACTCTGAAGTTCAGGCTCCAGGAGGATGGAATTTGGAATGAGTTTAATTAGCATTTTCTCCTTTGTTGAGTCTTCAACCAGTTGCTTAATATTAGTTCTGTTTCTTTCCTGCCCAACCCCCCTCCTTTTTTTTTTTTAAAGAATGTAACACTGTACTTGAAAAAATAGGAAGTGATCCAACCTCACTCCCCAAGTTTTGTAAATTTGGTAAATATGGGTAGATTTGTTATTTTGTAGGGTGGTGTATTATAGCATGTGTTTATTAGAGGGACAGTATTGATGTTTAGAATTTCTTTTCCTTTCAAGCTATAATGCTGAGGCTTGAACGATTTAAAGAAGGACCAGGCATCTGAGCTCAGTACTCCAGAATCTCCACAGGGTTAGAGGTGCTTGTGGGAATTCAGTGTCCCACAACTTCAGCCAATGGAAGGTAGCATAACAGGATCAGAGGCAAGGGACAGAAAAGCTTCAGGATGGAGTGGTGGGAGGGGATTTACCGAGAACCAGCCAGGGAAAGCAAAACAGCAGCCTTCTGGGTTCTAATCATTGTTTACTCTAGCAGAGGTGGAGGATAAAGTAAGTTCCACCTTGAGATTTTGTTTCCGGCAGAGAAGTTCCTTTGTCAGAGCAGGGAGGAGGAGCCAGAGGATTGAGAGGTTTGTGGGGAAGTTTTATCTTTTTCAATGAGGGAAGAAAAACGTATGTTCATACAGTAGTTACCACATTTCACAGAACCTTAAAAACCCATTGCTGACTTGTCTCAAGTTAGTTATAATACGTTATTTTTCTATGCAACAAGTTTGGTTAATTTCTCATGTATTGCTATTGTACTCATTAAATCCAAAAACTGATTTGGTTTTGTGAAAATACTGTAGGCAAATAGCAGTTAAATCCAACTAATAGACACTGTTGTCAGGATAGTTGTAGCAGATTGCCTACCGTTTTTGAATTTATAACAGAACAGTTCTCAGCAACAAACTTAGAAACTGTTGTTTCAGACATCGAAAACAGAAATCAGTACCAAAGGTAACCATCTGACAATGCAAGAGGGACTGGCTCTCGCCTAAGAAACTCTTGAGGTTGCAGTTTGCATCTGGTGATTAGGGTGTAAAGTTAAGCCATGCCTCTTTTAAGCTATCTGTGGAGAAGAGGCTCTGGTTTTTCTTTTTTTGTAGCAGTAGTTTTGAAATTACCTGGAAGAGCACAGATCAATCGCTTTTTGGGGGTTTATGAAATCCTTTATAAAGGAAAATTCCATGAGAGGGTATAGACGACTTCCTGGTTGCTTTTTTTTTTTTTTTTCATTAAAAAACACTCAAGTGCTTACCTTTATAAAGGCCTGTGAAACCTGTTTTGTTTTGGCTGTGCTGAGCAGCTCACAGGATATTAGTTCCCCAACCAGGGAGCAAACCCAGGCCCCCTGCACTGGAAGTGCAGTCCTAACCACTGGACCGCTAGGAAATTTCCTATGAAACCTTTTAAAATTGACCATTTTGATTGAGGGTATATCTTTGAGTATACACTGGAAATTAGAAAATAAATGAGAAAACAAATGAAAACCAGCAGATGCCATTGCAGTGTCTACTTTTCACTTCTCCCTTGCCTTAGCCCCCCGACATCCAAGCCCTGATGAGTTTGCTTCTCAATTGTCTTAACCCTCTTCTCTTTGTGTTCATTTCCTTCGTTAGGTTCGGTCATTCTCATCCCTTCCTGAGCACTTCACACTCTTGACTGATGTCTCTCTTGGGTCCAGTTTTCCTTTAGCAGTGTTCCTTCTAAAACACTAGAAAGTGGCAGCCCACTCCAGTATTCTTGCCTGGGAAATTCCATGGTCAGAGGAGCCCGGTGGGCTGCAGTCCCCCGGGTCACAAAAAGTCTGACACCGCTGGGTGACTAACACTTTCACAGAAGGGATTGCCACTAGGGGCCATCCAGCAAAATTCAGAACAGTATTGTTTTGTTTTATTGAGCTGACATTTAAAAATGAAGGTATTTTACCTAAAAATCAGAATTCTTGAAAATCTAGAGGATCCGCCAACCCTGGGCCCTGGCTCAGCAGCAGTCGTCTGGAGCTGAAGTTGTTTCTTTTACCCGAGATGCATCTCTGCGTAGTCCCAGCTCCTGCGTTGTCTGGGCCAAGCTGCCTTTAGTAGATCACAGGCTGCTGCCCGCCCGCTTGTCTCATCTGAGGCTCCCGAAGGCCCCTGTGGGCAATTTGCCAGCCCGGTCAGTTGGCTTGCCAAATCCTGACCACTGACATTTCTCATGCTCCTTGCCTCTTCACCTGTACTCTCCCCGTATTGGACTCTGCCACACCACAGGTATTTATATCGAGGTATATATCAACGAGCCAAAAACTTTGTTCAGGTTTTTCCATAAGATCATACAGGAAAACCCGAACGAACGTGTGTGTGTTCTTATGCATCTGCCCTCTTAAATTGAAGCCTTAAAAAAAAAGCTATAGACACTTCCCAAAATAAAACCTAGAGTATAGGCTCTGTGAGGGCATTTCCTGACATGTCTGTCTCTGGGGCTTTGCCTGAGGAGCCATGGTCTTTTTTTTTTTTTGACCTGTGATCTTTTATTCCTCTTTGCCTTTTTTATTTTTCCCCTCTTTGCCTTTTGATCTGCCATTTCCTCCCCTGAAACATCTTCACCATCCCACCAGCTCCCGCTTCTCCCACCCTGCCATTCAAACTCCTGCTTATCCTTCCATGTTCTTCTAATATCACCACCTCTGTAAGTCCTTTCCTGACAAATTCAGGCAAAATAAATCCCCATATGGGACTTCCTAGTGGTCCAGTGGCTAAGACTCTGTGCTTGCAATGCAGAGTTCGACCTGGGTTCGATCCCTGGTCTGAGAACCAGATCCCAGATCCCACATCACAGCTAAGACCTGGCACAGCCAAATAAATAAATATTAAAAAAAAAAAAAAATCCCCATATGTTCTCTGCTCCCTGAACATGTGGTGTATATGCCTCTCCCCACCCCTGACCCTCTGTACTTACCACGTTGTGTCATCAAGAGCATAAGCAACTTGAAGTTTGGGACTGTATCTTTACCTTTATAACCCTAGCTTTTCGCACTGCCATCTTGACTCAGAAAAGGCTTGTTAAGGGAATTAGATAATATCAGACGTATAATGGTTACACACTAAACACTGGTTAACTTCTTAAGAGGGACATACGTCTCCAAACTCAGAAGTTCAGGTTGCAGGATAGCTTGTGGTAAACAGCACAGTCGCGTACATTGGCCGAGCTTACAACCCTGGAATGATCAGTTTCTGTTCTGATACATCCCATGGGTTTTTTCCATACAGCTCATCAGTTATTCTTTGTCGCTAGTTTCCCACAATTCTAAATCTCTCGTCTTTTTTCCCCAAACTCAGCCAGTCATATGATATTTCTTGTTCTTTTCACAGAGGACTCGTTTTTAAGTTTGGCCGCACTGAAGACTTATGGCAGTGAAAGCTTCTGATTCGTTACTGCCCAGCAGCCCTGCGTGGGGTTTCTTTTTGTTTGGTTGTTTTTTTTTACTACTCACTCCCAGTCTTTTGTAATGCCATTTTCTAAACTCCTTTCTGAGTATAGTCTCAACTTAAATTTGTATAATACTAAAATCATGAGAACTCTCTCTTTAATCAACAACCACAGCAAAATCTATTGTGATATATATTTGATTACATTTGATTAACTTGTAAAATGTTGAAGAAAAGTATTTCACGTGAGAAATTTTTATTACATTTTATCATGTTTATAAAAATAAATCACAAAAGAAATCATGGAAGCATCTTATATGAGTATTTGTCATATCCAAAATCCAAAGCTGCAATTAAAATGCTCTGAAGATTTAATGTGTTTATTTAAATGTGGCCTGTTCTGTGTCAAATACTAGATGAAACATAAATAATGATGAAATATAAACATGTTCTTGTTTTTAAAAACTATTCAGTGGTCAGAATTCTTTCTCACTATCCTTTGTGTTTGCTTTATTAATGTATGGTTTTGCCAAAAATTCTGTAAATATATCAGTGTAAGTAGTTATTGAGGGTCTCCCAAGGGGTGAGTGAATATGTTGAAAGAGAGAAGCCCCATAATCTAGCCACCAGTTTCCTCAGAAGTGTCCCTTCAGTGCCACTGACTCGGCTGTGACCCTGGGCCTGGTGGGACGCTGACAGTTACTCCACAGCCACCGTGGAAGGAAAGAGGAAGCGGAGAGGGGCTTGGTCTTTACTCCGGTGACTGACTCTCTTGTTGGTTTGATAATAAATTGAATTCCATTTTGTTGTATCTCTACTGAACCACTAAGCTCAAAATAGACCAAGTGAGGTCAGTTATAATGACAAGTGTTCAGCTACTGGGAACTCCTAGTCTGTTCCTTTTTGGAATTCTTTTATCCCCCAGGCTCCCCACTTTGACATAATGGGAATTTTTTTTCTTTAATGAGCTAGCTAACTATGTGGGTACATGTTCTTCAGAACTAAAGCTTGAAATATTGTCATATTAATAAAGCTTGCAACAATTAGCTATTCGTTAACCACCAAATATCTCTCAGATGATTTAGATTGTGGTACCCTTTCTATGTCAGCCACAGTTTTCTCCCAGTGTGTATGTTTTATTTTGTTTGTTTTTAATTTTTAGTTTTTGGTTACACTGTGTGGCATGTGGGATCTTAGTTCCCTGAACAGGGATCGAACCTGCACCTCCCCTGCATTGGAAGCACTGAGTCTTAACCACTGGACCGCCAGGGAAGTCCCTACTAAGTATGTTTTGAATGTTGCCTGGTCATCAGCTACTCAAGGAAATGACTGTATCGCTGTCATTTCACCATCAAATCACTGTTTTTTAGATCCACAGGTATGAGAATTGGAGGCGCTCTTGGGGATTGAAGTATTACCTTCTCTTTTTACAGATAAGGGAACCCAGACCATGGCGATTTAAATGATATCCTCAGGGTTATAGGACTAGTTTTTAAATCTTGAGGCAGTCTGTCTCCACGTTCACAGATGTTTTCCCTACAGTTAAATTCAGGATGTGCTCAGGGAATAAGAACTCCTTGTAAAACCACTGGAATAAAAGCATAATGTCAGCAAGGATTAAATCTGAGTCTTCAGTTTTCCGCTGTTTTATATCAGCTGCTCTGCTAATACAGGTGAGTTAGCGGTGTAGCTTAATACTTTATTAAGCACAAGAAAGAATCTAGGGATTGTCAATAAAATTGAACCCAAACCTTAATGTCTTTCCTCATAGTTTAATCAGTAAAGAATCTGCCTGCAATGTAGGAGAACTGGGTTCAATTCCTGGATCGGGAAGATCCTCTGGAGAAAGAAATAGCAACTCACTCCCGTATTGTCGCCTGGAGAATCCCATGGATAGACGAGCCTGGCAGGCTACAGTCCGTGGGATCGCAGGAGTCGGACATGACTTAGCAACTAAACCACCACCACCATGTGTCTGTACCCAAGACAGTATTGAAAGCATCATCTTTCATGAAACTAAACATAATTATTTAAAATCATTATAAGATTATTAAGTTTATAGTCTTTTATTTTTAGTATCAAATCTATCTGACCTGTCTCATTGTACATAAGGAGACTTTGCTATAACAAGTGGTTGTTGTGCGTGCGTGCGCTCGCACACACACACACACACACACACACAAATGGGCAATGGTGAAAAGTTGTCTTGTTTTCAAACAGGCCTTGTTTCTCTTGGATGCTTCCCCTTAATATCCAACAGCCAAATGTGGAAACTGTAAAAGCAAAGCACTTTTTTTATTATAGATGAACCCTTACACACTCAATATTGCACACATACTGATTCTGATTTGATCTTTTGAAACTTGTGTTGCCCAAAATGTTACTTTATCACAAAGACCTTATCACAAATAAAGAACCTTTATCACAAAGTTCTTTCAAAAAAATCTGAATTGGAAGACCTCTTAGGTAAATCTCATTTCATACAGCTCTTTACATGGATCATTCATGGTCACCTGGCTTTTGGTTGTATAACTCCAGTGAAAGGAGACTCATTACCATGTGAAGTAGTTCTTCCCATAAGATCTTATGGAAAAACCTGAATGAACTTAATTGGCCAACCCAATAGTGTCATCTGTCATCCAGGGATGAGATGGGTAGGTATCCTTGGGGTTGGTGAGTGTCCCACCCTAGGAACTGCTGAGCATGGTCTGGGCAATCAGTGATGGAATGTCCTTTTTAACCTCTGGTAGTCTGCTTCTATGACATACAATAAGGGCATTTCATAATGTTTAAGATGTCCTTTTGGATGGTTTACAAAAAAAAAAATCATTCCTGGATTTATCAGCTTGGGAAGTTCATATTCTTGCATTTCAAATGCAAGCTGTAAAGCATTACCCTGCTGAAAAAATGGTTCTACTCAGTTGTAAAAAAAACGAAAAAAAAATCAGAAGATTTGGGGAAAAATAGCCATTCTCTGTTAGCTGACCATAACACATACACACATACACATATGTGTCTCTGAAGCCAGCCAGACATCGATTCAGCTTCCTCCTGTACCATTTACTAGCTCTGTCATTTTGGATGAGTGACTCATCTTTAGATGGGGAGACTTATTCTTATGCAGGGTTTTTGTGAGGATAAAGTCAGTTTGAGTAAACTCCGGGAGTTGGTTATGGACAGGGAGGCCTGGCGTGCTGCAATTCATGGGTTCGCAAAGAGTTGGTCACAACTGAGCGACTGAACTGAACTGAAAGTCAGACAATGTTGAAAAGCATCCAGCACGGACTCCGAAACAGTAGGCTTGCAGTAAGTGACAGCTGTGAGACTTAACACATTCCACTGCGGTGTGGCAGGAGGGCTCAGCCGTTGCAGCACATGGGCTCAGTTGCCCCGGGACATGTGGGATCTTAGCTCCCTGACCAACGACTGAACCAGCATCCGCTGCATTGGAAGGCAGATTCTTAACAACTGAATCACCAGGGAAGTACCGATACATATGTTCTTACCTTGATGTGGTCATGGTTTCAGGGGTGTATAAATATGTTTAAAGATACCAAATTATATACTTAATAATGTGTGCAGTTCGTTGTCAAGTAAACCTCCAGAAAGCTGTTTCAAGAGGAAGAGGAGCACAGAGATGAAAGAATAGGGGAGGAGGTGGTGGGTTCTCTCCGTTTCGCCCCTACAGACCTGAATACCAAGGTCCGTAATAAGGCTGGTTCTGTGTCCCCCTGGTGGTCAGTGTCTGGGCCTGCTAGGTGGAGAAAGGATTGGCCTGGGACTCAGAAGGCCCACTTTCATTCACAAAGGCATCAGCTGCGCATTAATCTGCCCTCTGTTGGCCCCTGCTTCCCATTTATAACTTGGCCATATGGGTCCCTGCTTGCGTAGCCAACCTCAGCATCAGTTGGAAGATTACCTAACACACAGCAGAGTACTTTGTGAACTGCAAGTGCAGGTCAAAGGGAGGAAGGCAGTGGGGTCTCAGGGAATGAGCCCTGACCTTCCTAGCCCAGTCACGACAACAAACCCTGCACTGTCACCTAGACTGTCGGTGGCGCTGAGTCATTTGAGTTTTCTCTCTCTTGACTCACTGACCCCAGGTCCCTATACCGCACGTTTTCTTGTGTCCACTGGCTGTAATTTATCCCGCTCTTGCTCTCAAACCTTAGACAGTCATGACTCCGCTCAGACGTCTAGCAAATGCAGGCCCTGGACTTGCTGGCCCCTGTGGGCCTTCTGGCTTTTGCACTGCAGGATTCTATCACCTTCATGTTGAACTATTAGCCCACTTCAGTGACTCCAGATGGGGAGGAGACGGGGCTCACATCCCTGACTCTCAGTGATTTTGAGGCATCAGGGAAATGGGAACGTCTACTACTTCCCCACCCCGGACCAACACAAACACACACACACACACACACACACACACACACATCATGGATTTGCTTTTCCTCCAGTGCTCCTTACTTCATTTTTACTTTACTCTCCATAAACACCAAGTTAACATACATAGCCCAGGTATCTTTTTAAGTCCATTCACTCCAAACCTATGACATTAATAGGTTAAAAATCTTACCTTCCAGAAAGATTGGTCGTCAAAATAGTGACTCTTGTGAGTTGATTTCCATATGTTGAGGTTTAAGAGCAAGCCTGTTTAAGTTCATAAATAAATGTTACACATTTAGAGGATTGCATTTATCTCAAAGTTAATCAGACTATCATATCTCACCTATGATAACTCAACAGAAATCCTTTTATCTTCCACAACTGGGAGATAGACACACAGAAGCACTGTCCTTCCCGGACCTGTTTAATTAATTCTACAGAGATCTTTTAAAAGGAACTGGTAAGAACAATTATATCCAAAGGATTAGATTACACTGAGAGGTATATGATAGTCATGGATCTAACACGCTTCCCAAGACAGAGAAGAAGGACCCTGTTGGTCAAAGCCCCACTTAGAGGCTGATTCATTTCAACACAAGA